GAGAGCAGCATGGTGCACCATTTACACCATCATTCTCTTTAGCTAGCTCATGCTGTTGAAGTCTAATCACCTATCTCTGTTTCTCGTTGTATTTTTTTTTTACATATTTATTGATGTATGAACACTAAGTCGAGAAAAGGTGCGCACTTTTAAATTGTGAGCATATTAGGGGAATGAAAATGCTTAGGTATATCATCATGCACTGATCAACTGCTTAATTTGGGGAATGTTAGAATTGATTTCAATCCATTATAATAATATTTAATAATTTATATACACATTTTTGATAAAAAAAATCACAAATATTTTTTAAAAATACCATATTCTACCACTGTGTAAACGGTTCTCCAGTCACATTTGTATTATTCAGTGTATTTTTAAACAGTAGAAAATCATCCCAAAGCAACCAAGTGTGATCGAATGATGGTGAAATCTGAGGTTTACAGGCTGCTGTATCTGGAAGGTTAGTGACACTGTAAAGAAATGTGACATCACTGTCATGTCACTCATGACAGCTGGACTGTGTGCTCAGTGACTGCTGTTCAAATGGCTTTATTCCAGTTGCTCCCAAATAGTTGAATTACCTCATCTACACTCAAAGCTGGATCAATGGCAGCCATATAGCCATTTTCATTTTCTGTCCCTGTTTAATCTTCTTAATCTCATGAAAATGTTTTGGAAAGACAACACGCAGTCTGACTGGACAGTCCCACACTAGTCTATCTGTGTGTGTGTGTGTGTGTGTGTGTGTGTGTGTGTGTGTGTGTGTGTGTGTTAAAAGTCACTAGACCCCACACTGGAGGGGTGAAAGGCTGGTCAGAGGAAGACTGCTTATCAGCATGAAACAGGACCAAGTTTACAGAGCAACTGTGCAAAGACAGAGATATACAGTATATCTAGAAGACAAAGTTAGACACACTTTTGGGAAAAATAATATAAAAAAAAATCTGTCTGAAAGAAAAAGTGGAAATTAGAATATTTGGCAAGAGTATCAGTATACACAGTATACAAGTGTATACACAGTTCCCTCCACAATTATTGGTGCCCCTGGTAAAGCTGAGCATTTCTTGATGAGAAAAAAATCCATCATCAAGAGATAATTGTTTTAAAGTTATAAAGGGTTATAAGTGTCATAACTAAATATATATTATAATATTGTATATTGTAGCATTATTAACTATATATTATATATACACAGAAAGTTCTGTGCAAATGTTTTAGGTGCCTGAAAAATTCATATCTGAAAAGCTATTCACTCGACAGGAAGCATTTTCATTCAGAATAAAACACACACACACACACACGTTTTCTGAACCACCTACCACGTCGCGGAAGGGTGCTGGAGACTATCTCAGTGGTCATTGGGCGGAAGGCAGGATATACCCTGTTTTCAACATGCCAAATCTTTCCTATATAAAGCCCAGTATTGGTTGTAACGTCACCCAACACCTAATCAATATTTCATTAAATTATATCAAGTGTGCTGCTGATGGAATTTAAGTCCATACAGTGGCTGAGGTATTGAAAAGAAATCCAGAAGTATCCAGAAATCCAGAATTCCTCAAAGTAACTAAATATATACGTGTTGTGTGTATGTATGTTAATGTGTATATATAGATATATATGTATATATATGTGTGTGTGTGCGTGTGTGTGTGTGTGTGTGTGTGTGTGTGTGTGTGTGTGTGTGTATATATATATATATATATATATATATATATATATATATATATATATAAATATGTATGGCCTGTCACATGATTAAGATTAATTAACTGTGATTAATCATACTGTTCTGTATTATTTCTTTTCACATTTGTTCTATTTGTTCAATTTGGATTCCAAATTGTTTTTGAAAATCTGTGTGTAGAAGTGGACAAAATAACAACTTTCAGATATTTAGTAGCATTTTCATCATGCGAATAAAGGATTCATAATGTCCAGGTAGAGGAACAGTGGCGCCATGTTCAAGCTGCAACTGTAGCCTATTGCTCTCATACTGCACCACATTCAGAATTATTCAGTTGGGTGTTTTGCTTGTAAATGACATTTCAGACTCTATGTACTATATATATATATATATATATATATATATATATATGTCAAACATAAAGAGAGTAACATATCCAGATACACAATATAATGATACAGACTGAGAAACACAATGTTGAAGTAGATTTGGTTAAAAATGGGTTAGTACTCTTCCATCACTGCTTTCACTCAGTAGAGTGTGCATTCACTCACGCTGGAGGTCAAACACAAGTATAAATGCAAACCTGAAGCCACGGTTGCTGAAATCAAGAAAGAACTTGCCCTGAGAAACGTATGGTACAGTGAAAGACCTCACGCTCGGCTCTCCAGACTTTCTGGGTGATAGTTTGATAGTTATTACAGCAGCATGCCTCACAGCTGCTTCAGCTGTTTCACGTGGCCATGAAAGACAGTTTAACTGAGGGCTAGTCTTCAAACACAGCCAGAAACCGTGTCTCACTCAGAGAAACCTCCCATTCTCTTTCTGTATGTCAGTGTTTGCGTTGAAGCAAGGATGATTAGCTTAAGCTATTTTTAAAACAGCAAAATACTCTTTTACATTTACCCCACCTACAATAATAGTAATATTTATTATTAGTAGTAATAGTGGTAGTATTCAGAAAGAAACAGGTCATTCTCATTTTCATATTCAGATAAAGTTATTATCAGATAATGTTATTACATGAATTATGTGCTTTTTAAAATATCTGTAATTTCATGTGTAATTTTATGCAAATTGGTAACTTTTTTAATTTTTAATACAGAACATTTTTTCCAGTGTCAAACCTATGACATTAGTTGAAATAGTCATCTGATTTTATCTTTGCCATAATACATTATTAGGTTTTCATAAACCAAAAAACTTACATTTTCAGTAAAACTATTTTTGTTCCTCAATATATGTCAGCTTTAATGCATTTTTGATAGATTTACTCGTTTTCAGAATAAGAAGTTGGTGCATTCTCTCAATTTTTCACAATTTCTGTTATTTGCAATAACATCTGTCTGTTTTCTAAAACCCCAGTATGTGATATATATATATATATATCTATATATCTATATATATATATATTTTACATGTGTCAGCCATTTTAAGATAATCCTCCGTTTGACCAAAGTGCCACTGGAGTCACGGTCACTGGTTTCAGCCCACAGAAAAGAAAAATCAAAAAAAGAAGAGATCTCCTTAGTGCCTCTGCAGTTTCTCCCAGAGAGCAATGGGTATCATTCAGCAGCATCTTAAGCTTTTTCTTTAATGTGTTCTTGAGAAAGGTCCTAGTAAAAAGTCCACATCAGATTCATGACGTGTTCTTAAACCACAGAATTGTTTACACCTTTGTGCTCTTGAGTGTGTGTAGATTCTGTTCTTACCTAAGAACAAATCCCAAACAAGAAAACTAGTGTATGTCAGAATCTTCATGAAAACTGTGTAAGTGGGGAAATTTCTTCTTAAGATTGGTGAATGAGGCCCAGTGAGATCAGATGGAAAGACAAACAAGATTTCTGCCTAAGTCTCCTGCTGTGTCACTGGTCCTTCTTTTTTTTTTTTTGACGATAGTCCAATTGACAGGCATGTCAGTAAAACCTTCCTTGGGTCTGTTATATAGCATTTACAAATCCACATTGAAAAGCTTTTAAACTCTCAGTACAAGGACTCATCTTCTAGACATCATTTTGATTAAAGAATAAGACATACGGATCATAAAGATGCCCATAAAAGCAGCACTTGTAATTTTATTACATGGCTTTTTCACTGAACAGTGAAAAAGTATTCATATAAAATATATCTTATATTATTAAACCAGTGGCGTGTTTGTTAATATCTTGATTTTTCAATGAAGTATTGAAAAAATATATTGCACATTAAAGGTGTAAAGAGACACTATTAAAAAGTTTCATGTCTAGTTTTAAGAATTTCATTTTCTATTTTATTTTTCATCAGTGTTTTCTTTCCGTTCCAAATGCCACCCTGTTCAGACGATGACGCATACATGAACAGGGACTTCTAGGTGACACTAGATTCACTTTCTCTCAGATGCTTGAAATATTATAAGCTCTGGCTTTTTCAATAATGCTTAAAAACCAGGTCTATTTTACAGCAGTGCACAAGAGTGTTATTTATTCTTTTCCCAAAACTGAACAACATTACACAAAGAGTAAGAAGAAACTAACTGTGTTGACTTCTTGTCTTTAGTTAATTTAGCGGTCAATCATGCAGTGATAAATTACTATTAGCACAATTAGGTTAATTATTGTTAATTAGAGTCAATTGAGTAAAAACAGCTGGTGAAGGTATTAAAGTTCCAAAGTGGATTATCAGAAGGCAAGCATTTAAACATAAAGCATATTTGTTGTCTGTCTCTTGATGTGTTCTTCAAGGTTTGTATCATCTTAAAGAACCCTGTCAACACAGTGATGTGTTATAACGTTTCAGAATTCCGCTATGAGCTGTAGCAGTGCTGTATTGCAAGTTTCCTCGGATCCATGAAAAATCCACCAGGCTCTATCCTTTCAAGACACAACACTCTCCTTCACCTACATTCAAAAATAAAGGTGCCAGAGGGGGTTCATTGGAGTGATGCCGTAGGAGAACCCCATTCTGGGTTCCATAAAGAGCCTTTCAATGGATCTTTCTTTAAAAAAGCTCAAGTGAAAGGTTCTTTAGGGATCCTTCCTCCCTGCCATCGCTCCCTGGCACCTTTATTGTTGAGAGTGTGCCTGTAAACTTCCTAAACGTCTCCAAGCTCAGTATCTCCTAATGCCTGGTCCTGCCCTGCACATTTTAGTGCTTTAACTCATCAGCAGCCCTGGCAGAGTGGAACTGGGCGTGATGGAGCAGATACGCACACTGTGCTAGATAAACACCACACTGCTTTAAATCCCCTCAGCACTCCCGAAAGTTCTGTGCATTTGTGGTTTGAACTTTTTTCTCCAGCGTTTATTTGTCCTGCATGAAGCTTAAAGCGTACCTGTGCGCTCCCTGTGCCTAGTCCATTGGACCCACCAAAGCCTGGCCAATCTTCTGCTGCGTTCTTCTGCTCAGCATAGTCCGACTGGGTCAGGCTCGCATCGCGGTGGCTTACATCGCTCTTTCAATCCGGTCATGCGGTTTATCCAGCAGAGCTGGTGACAGTCCGCGGAAGGCGAACGCTTCCCTCAGCGCTGCTGTCTCCGGTAGAAAAGCCCCGCGGAGCGGAGAGCGCAGAGAGCAGCCCTGCAGAGCGCGCACCGGACACTGACTGCGCTGATCCCGCGCCACGCTGCTGCTCGGGATAAAAGACCCTGAAGCAGTGGTGGGCTCAGAGAGACTGGAGCCCCTGTCTGTCCGCCGCTGACACGCACACACACCCTGACTACCTCCACACACTCAGCTCAACTTCACATTATAACGCACCCCTCCTCTCAGAGAAGAGCTCCTCTCGTCACCAATTCACGGCCAAGTAATAATAATAATAATAATAATGATTATTCTTATTGTTGTTGTTGTTGTTATTAGCTAAATAATAACAATAATGTTATATCCCACAGTTATCTTCGTTTATGTAATATAATAACAGTTGGGTTGAAAGAAAGCAGTAGACACAGTTAGTGAGACATGTACACATATACGCCTTTAGAGGGCGGCAGTGAGTCATGTTTGTTTATTTGATGTTTATTAACACTTTTATATGCAGCCCTGCTGGTGACATCCCATATAAATAAAAATCATGCGTGGCCACGTCTTATTAACGTGTGGGAATGAGACCCTAATGCATGGCCATGACTTAGTAAGGCATAGAAATGAGATAATTAAGTCGTGGCCATGACTTAGTAAGGCGTGGGAATGACATCATGCCTTACTAAGTTGTGGCCACGCTTTAGGATCTCGTTCCCATGCCTTACTAAGTCGTGGCCACGACTTAATTGTCTTGTTCCTATGCCTTACTAAGTCGTAGCCATGCATTATTTTTATCTAGGATGTCACCAGTGGGGCTCCATACTTTTAAAGGACAGCAGTGAGTAATGTTTGTTTATTTGATGTTTGTGTTGTTATTATTAGGAGGACAACGGGGAGCAATGTTTGTTTAAGGTGTTTGTTAACACCTTTAGAGGGTGGCAGTGAGTAACGTTTGTTTATGTGACGTTTGTAATAAAGCCTTTAGAGGGCGGCAGTGAGTAACGTTTGTTTATGTGACGTTTGTAATAACGCCTTTAGAGGGTGGCAATGATAACATTTGTTTATTTGACGTTTGTTATACCGCCTTTAAAGGGCAGCAGTGAGTAACGTTTGTTTATGTGACGTTTGTAATAAAGCCTTTAGAGGGCGGCAGTGAGTAACGTTTGTTTATTTGACGTTTGTTATACCGCCTTTAAAGGGCAGCAGTGAGTAACGTTTGTTTATTTGACGTTTGTTATACCGCCTTTAAAGGGCAGCAGTGAGTAACGTTTGTTTATGTGACGTTTGTAATAACGCCTTTAGAGGGCGGCAGTGAGTAACGTTTGTTTATGTGACGTTTGATAATCTGAGCTGAAACTGTTTCTCCTGTCAGCCGGGGGCTGTATGGACATCTAGGAAGCAAGAGCAGCTCATCTCCCAATTTGGCTACTTTGTACTTTCATAGATGCAAACAATGAACAAAAAAAGTTGTTTATCACGATTATTTATATGCCAATTAATCATCAGCAAAAAGATTTGACGATTGTGACAGGCCTGATAACAACATCGTTTCGTCATTGTTAAAATGGTAATCATGTTCTATGTGTTTATGTACAGGAGAAAACTGGTGTCCAAACAAACCTGGAGGCTTTCTATGCAGTAAATTTTAGGGTATTCGTTTTTTCATCACCTCAGTATTAAACTATTTCTGCCGAAAGATGCAACAGATATCCATACAATGCCACAGTGACTATGTCATTTAACAGAAATCCTTCATGAATTAGAATGTGGGACTGCTGTCTTGTCCCCCAACACACTACAGACTCATTTTTGTTCAGGTGGCGCCATCGTGTGGACACATTTGGTAGCAATTACTCACTAAAATATGATGCACTGCTGTTCATCCCAAACACAAATGCGTCCATCATGCACTCAGTTTCATTAGAACTGAAAGTACTAGTAGGCCTACTAGTCCATATGTAGATTTCTGCCTTATGTTAGCTGAAGAGATGCTGCTTCCGTGTCATAACTTATTTATTTTTCACTTATATTTTAATTTACATGAGCATGCCCTTCTTATTCTACATATTAAATGAAGATTGGTTATGTTAAGTTTCAAGGAGGGAGTTTTAACAGCTAAACCTTTAGGGCATCTCCGCACTGCAATTGTTCAGGAAAGACTTAAAAATGGCAGAACTGCACTGAAGCAAACTATTACCATCATGCTAACTTTTCTCTACTGATTCAATTCAGACAGCAAACCCCAAAAAAACAAATAGCTAAATTGTAAGCCTGTTCAATCAGAAATAAAGAACATTCCTTCTGGACAAGCCTCCCTAGTTATCAAGTTTACTGCAGAATCTAGCTGTGATGATGAGGTGAAAGGACAGGTCAGTGAAGGCTGGATGATAGATCAGGGCAAAGGGAGCCAGACATGTCACATGCATTGGACCCTCTGGTGTGTGTATGTATATATGTATGTATGTATGTATGTATGTATGTATGTATAGCCCACAGACAACAGCTTAGAACAGCATACATATGCAGACATGCTGAAGACAGAAATTTGTAGCTCAATCCTAGAACCATCATTACCAGAGTCACCTGTGTATAATGTTTATGAACATGTTTATGATTTACCCTCACAGTATAATGTCTTCCCCCTATGAATATACATATAGCCTACACTGTATTTGTCATTTAGGCTGTTTTATAGAAGTTTCACAGGTAGAAACAAAAAAGTTCACTCCTCCAAAATGTGATTCTGTCACTGTCCTTTACATACAGTTATGTCATATTTACACACCTGTTGTGAATCAGAGGGTGTGCTTCATTTACCTGTGCAGGCTTGCTGCTTTTTAAGGGCCGTGGAACCCATTTAGTTAGTTCATTCTCACAGTTATGACTTCCCTGCTGAAAAAGGACCATTAGAAACCGTTTGGATCAGAGCCTAATGGTTTTTCTCTCTAATGGGAATTGGCTTAATGGTTTCCAATAGAGACCACACGTTTCCAGTCAGACACTTTTTGATTCCATTAGGAAACCATCAGATGCATTTAGAATCAGCCACTTGTCACTTGTTATACCATTATGATCCTCTACATTGTGATATCAACAAATTACAAAACCATCAGCAACCAACAGCAACACTTAATAGTTTCTATGAGTTTTCCTTAGCAGGGTTAGTATCTCCTAATAATGACAGTCATGACTTTGTACCTCATAATTATGATTTACTTTCTCATAATTATGAGAACATTTTCTCATTATTATGACACAAGTCATTATTATGAGATACTAAGTTATAATTATGACATCCTACGTCATACTTATAGAAAACTACCCCATTATTATGACTTACTATGTTACTAAATGGCTGTGCATTTTTATAGCCGTTATATTTTTCCCAGTGGTGAAAACGGCCTTCCATAGTTAAGTCAGAGTGGAGTACTATTATGGAGTATTATCACTTGTACCGTGTCTTACGTAAACTGTTGCCTAGCAACGAAAGTACATTTCAGCTGTGGGCTGCTGTTCTTTGCCTTTATAAGACCCGTAGATTACTGTTCCGCTTCAGGGCGCGTCATGATTTCCCGCTTGTCGTTTGTTATGACGCAAGTTCGCCGTGCTGCTTGCCTTGTGGGCGTGGCCTAATCAGCGCATGACCCAGGTCTGCAGCCGGACTCTACTGGAAACTCGGACTCAGTCTGCGAAGCTGCCACATAACAAGACGGAACAGAACTGAGCCCGTGCACGAAGGAAGAGGTGCAGGTTTAAAGGCTGTGCCCGATAGTTAAACGACCAGTATTCTTTCCTGTCTGCTGTCCTTCATTTACCTGATCTGTACACCACAGCCTCACTCTATACACCGGCAGAGCGGGCTAGCAGGTAAATCCATACGGCTGCAGGTCAGACAAACCCGAATGTTTCATTCGACTACTCAGACGCACAACCTCAGCAAAGTACACACCCGCAGCCCACGACCATCGACATCTCTTCACCGGAGTTAGAGGATGTTTTCAGATCAGGTAAGCTAACAGCAGGCACCGTTAGTCCATGTTTTCAGAGAGGTGTGGGGTTAATCTTAGCTGGGTAGCTAACCTAGCTTGTTTGTTGGGGTTACTGGCGTTTGTGGTCAAGAAAACAGCCACTCACGAAAAGACAGTCGTGTGAAGCGACGTGTCATCAGCTGACAATTACCGCTCTGTCGCAGTATTTTCTTATTTACTTGTCTGTTTGATTTTGACACATACACGTTAATTTATATCTGCCGTTTACAGCCTCCCATCTAAAAAGGTTAGTTAACTTTTTTGTCCCTGCGTCTTCCTCCCATCTCTGTCTGGGGCCGCGAGGAAGAAATGGAAGGATGAGCAGTAGAATGGATCTTCCGTTACTTACATGTAAATCAACATGGCAAGGAAAATAAAGAAAAGGAGATATGAAATGAAGTTTAGTCCAGCTATGAGTTTCCCTACACAAACACACCCACTAAACATGGCATTTCACAGATTAATTGAATCAGGTGTGTTTGAGCAGGTAAATCACCAGATTGTGCTGGAGTTGTGCATCACTGCAGTAGACACTTTTCAGTCCTCCTGATGTGCTCAGGTGTGCTTCTAGATCGGCAGTGATTTTTCTGTAATTGCTGTTTAAGTGCCATGTGCTGCTGTCGACAAGCAGCTTTGTCTCCTGGCTGTTGCTGTGGTACTGAGGGTGATGACTGAGATGCAGTTTGACCAATGTTTGCATAAAGGCGTGTAGTACCAGAGCCGGTTTATGAGGAGCCTGGCCATCAGTGGTGGACGAAGTACACAACTCATGTACTTAAAATAGAGATACCCAAGGTAAAATATTACTCCAGTAAAAGTAGAAGTTCCTCCCTTTAGACCTCCACTTGAGTAAAAGTACAAAGTATTTGCCTTCAAATGTACTTTAGCATCGAAAGTAAAAGTACTAAAAGATTAATTATGGCTCTAATGTCCTATTACCATTTTTGTAACAAGACTCTGCTTTATTAACTCATTTTAGGTGAAAATACTCCAGTGTCACTCTTGGTAAACCAAATCTTTTAATAGAATGTCATTAGTTAGTCTGACGCTGATGTCTATTAAAATTATCATAAGCACAAAACACTGAAGGCAAACATTTTCCATTAGGTAGAACCGAGTGGCTCTGAAATAACCTTTTGCAGACAAGCAAAGTTTCAGTTTAAGATGTATTTGTAACTTAACTAAGTTTAATAAAGACTTGCTTTAAACACAGATTCACAAACGAGTTTTCCTTTATTATACGGTCTCTGTTCATAAACATAAACTAGCAAAAACAAATTTACTATAACATAAAATAGTGTTTGTATAAATTGAGTAAAAAGACGTCAGTCTCAACTGCATATGTGTACACATTTCTGTACATACATGCATCATCTAAACCGCTTATCCTTCTGGGTCACGGTTGGGTGCTGGAGCACATATTTCTATATTGTGGTCTGTTTACACAAAGTTAGTTTAGTTCCATCATTTATGTAGGAAAAGGCACTTCCAAAATTTTACGCTGCTGCACTGACGTTCAACTGTATGCTTGCACTGGATCGGTATGTCCAACATGTCAAAACAAGCTCAAAACAAAGTGCGCTGTACCCTGATTGGTGTGCTCCTATAACTCGAGTTTAAAAGCTTGTAAAAACATAACAGCAGTGTTAAAATGTTTTATGCTGTTCAGTGTTCAGGAAATAATTGCGTTCTTTTACATTAGAAATGTTTAAGCATTTATAAACTATGATATTGCTCAAATGCTCCTTATCAACCCATTCAATTTGGATTCGCTCGGGAGCTCCCTCTAGCGTTTGAGAAAACCGGAAAACATTGCAGAGTGATAATTCTCCTCTCTACAAGTTCTCTGTGTAGTACATGACCAACCAATGGTGGCGTGCGAGAAGGTGGGAAAGTTCAAAGAAATGCAAAATAGTTGCTTTCTACAGTTGCAATTTTGGGTGACTGTAGAAAGCAAAAGCCGAATCCCAGACATGTTTTGTGATTTAGAAATCCCAGCCGGACACACTTTTTAGGTCCCGAAAAAAGGATGTGTGGTCACCCTATGTTATGGCTACGTGTCATTACTTTCTTGACAAAGTGTCGGCAGTGGCAAACTGTGACTACTGGAGCCAGGCTTTCAATTCAAGCCATAAATGTCAAAATGAGGGGAACAAAATACTTCTAAAATGATGCTAATTTCTGTTAGCGTCCTTATGGGATTCTAGTTTACTAGCACTAAGCTAAAGGCGGTTCACAAGATCCTTTTTTGGCCATTTGAAAAACATTTGAAGCTTCTAAAAACATTCTGATTTACTTGTGACTACAGAGCCCTGCTGGTGACATCCTGTGTAAATGAAAATAATGGGTGGCCACAGCTTAGTAAGGCATGGGAACAAGATCTTAATGCGTGGCCACGACTTAATAAGGAGTGGGAATTAGTTAATTAAGCCTTGACCATAGCTTAATAAGGCATGATCTCGTTCCCACATCTTACATAGTCATGGCCACGCATTAGGATCTCTTTCCCACGTGTTAATACAGCATGGCCACATGTTATTTTTATTTATACAGGATGTCACCTGCAGGGCTCTGTGTGTGACAGACATATCAGCATATATTTTACCTTGTAGCAGGTTCACAGTGACTCTCAGTAGTGACCACTGCTGTTTTCTGTTTCTAACAACCCAGTGATTGAGGTTGCTGCTGGTATTCAGTCAGTGACATATCTAGGACTCTCCAGTAGGCATAGAGTAACATTTTTTTTTCTCATGTCATTGGTCCTACCCATTGGAAATTAAAATGTGATTGGTTAATCTAACTTTCACTTCTTAATTATGCTGATGGTTAATCTAAGGTATTAGGGCTTCACATCTGGTTTTGTTCTTGGCGGTTTTCATGTAATGTCTTTTGAAATTCAGCCAATAAAATTACTCACCAGCATCTGACTTATTTGTTTTTTATGCTTAAACACACAATCCAAACAAGGCCAAATGTATTCTTTGTTGTCTGGAAGAAATTAACACATTAAACAATGAATAAAATTTTCTCTTTGCTCACCATCAGGTCCATTATACACACGTTTCTTTGAGTAAAAAACTGTTTCAAGGAGTATGAGCTCTCTGACTTGCTCTCTGGTGATTGGACTTGGTCTCAGAAGGGAAATTTGGTAACTCAAACCAAACACCGTAAGAGTCAGAGCTTGCTACTGGATTTTTTGCATTGCTGTGCTTAAAGAATGGTTAAGTAAACACACACACACATACACACACACACACACACACACACACACACACACACACATCATCTAAACCTCTTATCCTTCTGGGTCGCGGTGGGGTTGTTAAGTAAACAATGTTTATGATTTATTTTTATGATTGATATCATCAGGTTCTATAGAGGATTAACCTTTCATCTTTAATAATAAAACAACATCAGAAAACAATGAGACGTGTTCAGTTTGATGAGCCTCCATGTGCTCGTATGAGGTAAGACTTCAGATCACATACATGAGAGAAGTATGTATTCCAGATAAAAACTTGTGGTGTGTGTACACAATACATTTAAAAAAGAATATATGGTTATAGTAATATATGGTTTACAGTAGGGTACTGTTCATAAGGCTACACAGCACCTACATAATTATACATTTATAAATGCTTATTCCAAAAGGCATAATTTTCTGTGAAGGTTACATTTGCCAATTTTGATCAAAGTTAGCAAGAGTAGCCTTTATGACAGATGACGCCTTTTGGACTACGCATTGATAGACATTTTTGTAGGGTTATGTCAGTCATCATGACAAGCTTATGTAGGTGTCATGTAGCCTCATGAACAGTACCCTACAGTAAAGTGTTACCAAATATATTAAATACCAGGTTAATTTCTCAGCTTGTCAGTATTTGAAAGGTATGTGTACAATGAACAGTTCTTCACTGAATGTTATGCTTTTTTTGTTGTTGCTGGCTAGTGAGGATATCCTTAATGAACGCACCAACTCACTCAGATCTTTGCTGAAAGAAAGACTGAAAAAGAACTACCAAGATCTTGACACCACTTACTGTGTTCCAATGAAACTGCATTTATTCAAGGGAGTGAATGAAGAAATCAAAACTGAACAAGTCATTAAGGAGCTGAAATGCCCCATTAATGATTTCCTGAAAGCTGAGAATGTAATCGAGTATGTTGACCTCTTCAAACCGTGTCCCATCACCAATAAAGATGTCAGAACCGTTTTGATGAAAGGGATACCTGGAACTGGCAAAACAACTGCTGTGAAGAAGTTCGTGTTGGACTGGACTGAGGGCAGAACACATCAGGACATCACTTTTGTTTTGCCTTTTAATCTCACAGAGCTGAGCTTGATGAAGACAGAGAAATGCAGCCTAGTGCAGCTTTTAGGACTGTTCTTTCCAGAGCTGACAGACGTTGATGCTCTCCAACATGCCAAAGTTCTCTTTGTGCTTGATGACCTGAGCAAATGTAAACTCAGACTGAAGTTCTGGCACCTAAAATCTTGTAGTGATCCAAAAAAGGAGTTGTCGCTGAGTGCGCTGCTCGTAAACCTTCTGAGAGGGGATTTGTTCCCGAAAGCCCAGATCTGGGTAACATCAAGTTCACAGGGAGCTGATTTAATCCCTTCTAAATTTCTGCAGCGAGTTGTTGAGATTCAGGGTCTGGATGATGTAGATTGGGAAGAATATATCAGAAGACTTGTTCGTGACTGTAGTGTGGCTACAAGAGCAATCAACCATGTAAAGTCATCAAATAATCTTTATTTCATGCGTTCACTGCCAGTATTTTGTCATATTGCTGCCACTGTTTTGGAAGAACTGATGACAAACGCATGTAACATGGAGCTGCCACTGACTTTAACAGAAATGTACACACATTACCTGCTCATTCAGATGAGAGGAAAAGCTTTCCATTTAAAGGCTGAGGCAAAGCGGATGAAGACAGATGCTGAGGAGATCCTGAAGTTAGGTAAACTAGCGTGGCACACCCTTGAGAAAGGCTCTTTAAGTGTGTTTGAGGAGGAGCTTAGACAGAATAATATAGCCCCCTCAGCTGCAGCTGAACTCTCTCAGAGATGGACCACCTTTTTTAAAGAGGAAGAACTAATTGAAGGGAAGGTATATCACTTTGCACATCAGAGCATTCAGTCGTACCTTTCTGCACTGTATGTGGTTGTGAATTATGAGCCCAGCAAGGGTAATGTGCTCAGCTATACTTTGGTGGAAAGAGTGCAACACCTGTTTAAACCAGTGGAGGCAACTGATATGTACAGAAGAGCCGTGGATAAGACTTTGAGAAGCAAAGAAGGCCAGTTTGATTTCTTCCTCATCTTCCTCCTTGGAATATCTGCAGGTCCCAGCTATGAGTACTTGTCATGTTTTCTTCCTGATTCCTGTCAAAGAGGAAGCTCAGAGAACATTGTCCCTTACATATTCAAGAACATTGAGAACACATCATCACTAAATCTCGTCCGCTGTCTCGATGAACTGAATGTGTCTTACACTGGGTGTCAGGGAAATGTAGAAGAGGACCTCACACCCTCTGAGTGGTCTGCTATGGCAAAAACCTTGCTGAACTCTGAGGATCAGGAGAGAATTTTTGACTCCAGGGAATATCTCAACCCGGAAGTGGCCTTTGGGAGACTGTTGCCAGTTATCAAGGCCTCTAAAGTTCTCAGGTAGGCAGTTTCCTGTTACATTCCTTTTGCACTGCAGTTAGTTACAAACATGTAAAACACTATTTTCAATTTACAGGTGATTTTAGGCTTCACCAATTAAGGAACTTGATTTAGCTTAGCATCCTGGGAACCTTGATGAGAGAAGGTGGTTTTTTTTGCATTTAGAGAAGAATCACTCAGGTTATTTGAGTCCTGCAGCATTCTTGTTCAAAGGTTTCACTCTAGTCACAGTACTGAACATGTATTGTGAGTTTTAGTTTCTTAAAAGGCATGTTAAATCATGGAAAATGTGTGTTTTTTATTTTATATATATTATTGTATATATTTAATATTTAATATTTATATTTTATATAATTTTGTATGCAGTTTAATTTTTGACATTCCCAAATTACTCAAAAATGTGACTTACTCAAAAAATTACTAAACTTATGTTTTTGAGTGTCACCCAGCTGTGACACAGTTTCAGTAGGCTGCTTCGGCATCACTTTGTTAACTTTCTTGGGGTACAACAGCCCACTATGTAGCATACACAATACACTAATAAACACATCCAATTTTAAAGTGTCTGCATGAACAAAATTATATGAAGTTTACAACAGTTACCTTTGTCATGTAAAATTCTTGTTGTGATAAATACAGTACATTAAAGTGCAACTGTTTTATGGATGACTCATTATCTCTGTGTCTTAGAGTCGATGTATGTGGAAAACTGTGCTGGATGTTGCTTGCTTCTGCTCTGAGATCACCATCAAACAGCATCAGAGAAATTGACACAAAGGATGTAGTAATGAAAATACAAAGCTTTTCTTTGTTATCCGAAGGTTTGAAAAGTCCCAACTGCAAAGTGGAGATCCTCAGGTGAGTTTACAAAGTAAATATATCAATCTTTCGGTTCAATATATCGGTTTCAATTTACACTCGGTGACCACTTTATTAGGTTCACTTACCATATAGTAGCAACTTGTATCTGTGTCTCTGCAATATTTGTATTAAACCCCCAACCAGTATTGAGGCACCATTTCAATTGCCTGGGGAGATGGTGGGGTGCAAAATTTTATCAAGAGCGGGAGGAGTGGAAGAAGGATATTTTTATAGGATGTAGGGAGTGAGAAGAAGGAGTTTCAGTTGTGGTCTTTCCCTAAACTTCAGTTATTCTGTCATTCTTTTTGTGAAAAACTACCCCTCCCATTTTATTCATCTTGACATAATTTGGGAACCATTAATTCTTGAAGTTCATGACCTGATTAGCTCCCATTATGTCCTAATCGGCATACTAATTTTGGGCCATGTCCAGCTTTGTCTGAAAAAGCTTTTTAATGTTCTCATTAAAAAATAAACTCAAAGGGTTCCCCTTATTTCCATCCTAGAGATTCGCTGATTAAAAATAACTGGTTATTTAGGTCATACAACTGGCTGGGATTACAGTGTTCAAATGGTTATGAGAGCCAGAGAAACAGAAAGGTGTAGAAATTCCTTAACTCCATTTAAAAAATCTGTGATGTGTGCCATAGTAGCCCCTTAGTCAGTTCAGACCAGACAGGATAGCTTTTGTTGCTGTCACACATTGATGAGCCTTGCACACTCAACACCCTCTCACCGATTTGTGGTTTGTCCCTCCTTGGACCACTGTTGGTAGGTACTCACCACTGCTGAGCCAGACCAACCCACAAGTCTTGCCATTTCAGAGATGCTGTGTTTACTGCATGGTTTAATACATGGTATCTGCTTTTTCTCCAAATTCTCACACCTTTTAGAGGGTCTCTTGTTTTAAGCTGGGGATGCTGACACTGGTTAAGATTGACCTTAGGACTTTAGAAGCACCATCTGACACCATTTATGGGCTGGTGCACACACATATACAGCTTATTTTATACCACATCACCACTTACAATTACTTGACATCACCATTCAATCTCAATTTGCTGTGAAGGAGGAGAAAAAAGAATGGCCAGACCCATTTATGTGAGTCTGTTATTTTGCCATGGCTGGATATGAGATGAAAGCATGATGATGAAGTTTGACAAATGAGAATTCAGCTTGACAAAATGTATTTAAAAAGGTTATTTTGGCTTTTCAAATTTTTTTTTTGATAAAAAATTTTTTTTTTGAATAAAATACCCTCTTGAAGAAAGAACTCCTCCATAACACACACACATTGTCTAACTGTAATGCATCCGATCCTGCCAAAGGTGTAGATCCAGGTGTAATAGATGTGGTCCGAAGTAGACTCTCCAGGACCAGGTTTGGTGCTTTAAAGACCCAAAGGTCTATAACTAGCTTTCACAGAACTGTACATCCAAGCCAAAAAACTCTTAGGAATGTTTATTTTCAGAGTGCAGCAAGGTTCATCTGCTGTTAATCAAGGCTTTAACAATATTATTCAGTGAAGATGTATTTATTTGTTTGTAATGAATTCAAAATTAATTTCAAATCTTATTTTTGGTACTCACTAGTTTCATTTAATTTTCTTTTTATTCTTTTTTTTTTTAGAACAACATACTCCCTTCGGCTTGAGGAGAAAGACCCTGATCCTCTGATTTCAGCTCTTTTATCTAACCCATCACACCTAAGAGAGCTGAACTTGAGCGATTCGTATGCTGTAACTGACAAGACAGTGGAAGGCCTAACAAAAATATTAGTGGACCCCACATGTCATCTGGAAAAGCTTGTGTAAGTGAGTAAAGAGAGAAGGCACCAGATCATGGTTTATTTCCCGACTACCCAGGGGAGGTGGTGATTCAGAATTGTATGCCAGAAAATATTTGAAGATATTGATTTAAGACAAAACTCTCCGTTCCAATACTTGATGTCTGCAAGAACTAAATGACTTCCCATATGTCAACAACAGACGTTATCAGATCTTTTCTAATGACTAACATGTGGTGACATGTCTGATGACAGCATTTACAGATTGGGTTATTTTATAAGTGCAGTAAATGAAAAAGCAAAATTAACAATTTAACAGATTTGGATTATAAATGGCAGAACACCCTTCATCTATCTGATTTCTCTCTCTCCAGTTTGGCGTCTTGTTCTGTAAAAAAGAATTGGTTTACTGCGTTGGTATCTGCTCTCTCTTCAAACCTTTCTTGCCTAAGAGAGCTGGACCTGAGTTACAGCGCACCTGGACTTGACGCTTTTCTGCAGCTTTGCTCTTTGCTGAAGGACTCTCGCTTCAAACTGGAGACCCTGATACTGGATGAGATGGACCTTGGGTCTTTCGAAGCATCTAACACCACTAGGTTGGTGCACACATTTGCAGCTTATTTCATACCACATGTCACTACTTACTATTACATCACAACATTAAATGTTACTTGCTGTGAGGGAGGAGAAGAAAGGATTACCAGGCCATCTGTTATTGTACGCTGTCTAGATATAAGAATAAAAACATGAGAATGACGGTTGAACAAAGAGCCCTCTTATTTTTCTGTAGGATCTATCTGTCCTGTCTATAGACATTTGTGAAGGTGAAAACTAAATAAAACATTCCAGTAAGATCGTGATTAAATGACTAACATTTTATCGCTCAGTAGTTCATGATATGTGTGTTCATTTTTGTGTGATTATGCTGTAAATGCTGCTGTATATTGTTTCAGACAAAGACTTACTGATATCGTAAGCGAAGCCTCCAGAGCTATGGCTTCAGCCCTCAGTTCGTCAAACCTCAGAGTGCTGAACTTCGGTATTTACAACTTGGAAGATTCCTCAGTGGAGCTGCTTTCAGCAGGACTGAGCCATCCTGCATGTAAACTCGAGATTCTTAGGTAAGTTTGAAAAGTGAGTGAAATCACATCATGCTATATGGTTTAGCAGGTTTTAATAACACATAAGATGAACACAGACAGTCATTCTGCACTGATCATATTCCACACTTTACTTTCCTTACATCTTAATATACAGTCATGTGAGGAAGTAAGTAGACCCCACGAATGTTCCTCTTTTTTGACATAACAGTATTTGATCTTCTGTTAAACAATAGGTATAGATAAACAATATGTAATAGAACAAAACTATAGAAATTTGACTTCAATGACTGCAATCACAATTATTTAAAAAATAAAAGACTAACGTCATTTTTCTCTGTTGAAAAAGAAAGTACATGCCTAGCTTCATTATCTGGTACTGGCCCCTATGGCAAACAGTTTTATGTTTCCTATAACTGTCTAATTTTTGCCCACTCTTTCATACAGAATTCTTTTATCTGTGCGATGTTTGAAGGGCTTCTTTCATGTACAGCCCGCTTCAAAACCCCCCACAGCCTTTTAATGGGATTCAGATCTGGGATTTGACTAGGCCATTCCATAAGCCTTCATTTCTTCCTTTTGAGCCATTCCTTGGTGGATTTACTTGTATATTTAGGATCATTACCTTGTTAGAAGGTCCACTTCTTCAGCTTCAACTTTATTTACAGATGGTCTTACATTCTCCTCAAGCACTCTCTGGTATGAAAAAGAATTCATAGTGAATTCAGTGACTTCAAGTTGGTCAGGACCTGAGGTAGCAAAGCAGCCCCAAACCATAACTTTTCCACCATCATGCTTTACAGTTGGTATGGGGTTCTTCTGATCATCAAATGATGTCTTTGGTTTTCACCAAACATGGCGTCTGGTACTGTTATCTTTAACTCATCTGTCCACGGTACATTGTTCCAGAAGTCCTAGACCTTGCCTAAATATTGATTAGCAAGCTTTAGTCTTTACCTGATGTTCTTTTTAGACAGCAAAGGCTTCCTTCTGGTGCACCTCCCATGTAGGTCAAATTTGTGCAGTCTTTTTCTTATGGTAGATACATGCACTTTTACATCAACATCAGCAAAGAACTACCTGCAGATCCCATGATGAAATGTTGGGGTTCTTAAAGTCGTCTTTTAGCATCATACGGTCTGCTCTTGGGTTAAACTTGGGACAGCTTGGCCTGAAGAAGTTGACAGTGGTTTTCAGTCTTCTCCACTGATCCTCTAGACAGTAGACAGTAGAATTATTGATTTCCAATATTTTGTAAAAATCTTCTTAAACCCCATCCCAAGCCCATAGGCATCTACAACTTTCTTACAGAGAGATCTTTTGATTTTTTGATGATACCACACACTACAAAAATAAAAATCAAACCAAATATTTGAGGTTTTAAATAAGACAAGTTCCTCCAAGATATTGTCTAACAGTGTTATATCTAGTCATCAGCACTTCACTGGGTGCACCTGATTTCAATTTGACATGTTGACAGGTTTTCACATTACACCTACAGGAGATTCTGTGACCTCCCATTCTAAATCCATAGGCATTAATATGGAGTCCCCCCCCCCGCAACATTTGCAGCTAAAACAAGCTTTCTACAAGATGTTGGAGTGTGTCTGTAGGAATTTTAGCCCACTCATCCAGAAGAGTATTTGTGAGGTCAGACACTGATGTTGGATGAGAGGGGCTGGCTCGCAATCTCTGTTCTATTTTATCCCAAAGGTGTTTGATGGGGTTGAGGTCAGGGCTCTGTGTGGGCCAGTCAAGTTTTTCCTCACCAAACTCACTCAACCAAATATGTTGAAAAAGTCTAAACTTTTCATGGGGTGTACTTACTCCTTCACATCACTGTACTGGTCACATATCTTAGCATTTCATCCAAATCTGAGACATCATTATGAAATTCAGCTGGAGTCAGCTAAAGTTACTCTGAAGATAAATCACTAATTTAGTTGAGCGTTGTTGAAAGAAACATGTACGTTGCAAAAATGTCATTTGTCACTGATTTGAATTGTTTTTCTTTTTAAGAATGACACGATGTAAAATCACAGACGTGGGAGCTGCTGCACTCGCAAATGCTTTGCGTCTAAATCCTTCCCACATGCGGGAATTAGACCTGAGCTACAATCCAGTGGAAGCAACTGGCATTGACCAGCTCAACTCTCTTGTTGAAGATCCAGCAATCAAACTGGAGAAAATAATGTGAGTGTTTCCTAACACTGCTCATGGAATAACCTTCTGAAGATAGTAATGTTTTCATCAGCTATCCACAAGCTCTCCATGAGGCTAATATGTGTGTGTCACAGCAAGAGGACATCAAAATGTGCAGTGCAATAATAGGATTGGGAAACATATTCCTAGAGGGGTTCATTTTTTGTAATAGCAACACCTTAACAATTATGATTTATCCTTTACAGGTATTTGGGCAGTTGAAAAATAAATGTGAAGTAAAAGCACAGAGTGCTCCATGTTGTTTATGCTGTAATTTGGTGCATATTTCACTGTTGTTTGCAAACGTTTGGGCACCACTGATCAAATTACATATCGAAATGTTACTGTGTGTCAATAACTTAAAAAACAGAATAAAATGCCAAATTGTGGCATGAGGCAAAAGTTTGGACACCTTTACACCTTTGCAAAGTCTCAGAACTTAAATTACTCATTAGGCCTTAATTGACTCATTAGGACTGGTTAAACAGGTCAAAAACTATTGCCTACAAGCACTATCTAAACAGAGTGCTTCCAGCTCACAGTTTTCAGCATGTAAAATGTCATTAAGAAATGTCTGTTAAAGGGAACTGTGGAAGTCAACGCAAGATCTAGAAGATCAAGAAAAGACTCAGACAGTACTGTTTGTGTGCTAACAGCAGTAGACCTAAAAGAAGGTTTAGCTGACACAGGAGTAGTGATGTACCATTTCACCCCAGATGTAATGTTGTGTTTATCAGTTAGATTGCATTCATTGTCACACACCTGTACACATCTTGAAAAAGGCTTGACCTGACATTTTAGTCATTGTGTTATTTATTTTTTTTTACTATATCCTTTAATTTACTGTAGTACCTGGTTTGTTACGACATACTGTTTGAAGTGGTGCATTTGCCAGGTGGGGAGGACTCCAGTGGGAGTAGAAGGTTAGAATATCAACACGTAGGAGCCTGTATAGGTTGTATATGCCACATTTTTCTCTATATTTTAAGTGAATCAAATATAAAGCCACTGTGCATTAACATTTGTACACTGTGTACATAGATGGAATGACAATAAAAGCCTCTTGACTTGACATTTGCAGAAAAAAAATAAAATAAAATTCTTTGCTGCAGAGGTTGTGTTCACATTTTTTCACTTAAAAAAGTGGCAAAATTTGTACTTTGGCCAAAATAATGCATTTAATTGTATTTTATGATTTTGAAATTGTTGATTTTGTGTCCACCAGCCATTAGAGGAACATTTGACTAAATTTAAGGCAGTATTCAAGCATATTACACAGTGGAAGATTTTACTATTTTAATCAAAATCACAGTATTACTAATACTGGAGTTAGTTAATTAGGATGATCAAATAATGGGTTGCCATTGCTCTCATAATATGTGTTTTCCATTTCCATTTTCTATTATTACTTTCAAAAACTAATTATATCCAAAATAGTTACAAATATGTATTTGGAATGAAACTCTTGTAGTAGTTCCTGATCATGAATTATACGTCTTAAAATTATTTTCTGCCATGGCAGCCATGGCCTCTCCTGTCACTTCCTATTTTATAGATTTAATAAATAATTGGTCGAAAAATATTGTATTGCCACATGGCTTTTGCTAGAAAGGGATTTCTGGTTCCTTTTTTAGTGAATGATAAGCATTGACAAAATTAGTATTAAAATCCTTTGTATCTAAGTATATACTGTGTGTGTGTATTATATATATATATATATATATATATATATATATAAATGGAACTAGTAAATACATTTTTTTGTGTCTCCAACAGTTTAGAGGGACTTGGAGAGCACCGAGACCTTGAAAACCTTCAGCAATGTATGTGTGCATTTTCATAGTTAAAATGTTGTGCTGTTTTTTATTATTTGAATGATTTAAAAACTAGTACATGCATCTGAAACCTTTTGTCTCTTTCCTATCCTCAGATGAATTCTCACTGACTCTGGATCCCAACACAGCCTCGGTGGATGTGGTGGTGTCCAAGGGGGACAAAGAAGCGTGGCACAACCATAACCGACAGCAGCCTGTCCCAGAAAACCCTGAGAGGTTTAAACCGTTTTTCCCTAGTCATGTGTCGAGAAGGGCTCACTGGTCGCCACTTCTGCCAAGTGGAGTGGTTTGGAAGGTTTGCCACTATTGGAGTGGCCTATAAAGACATTTGCAGGAAGGGGCGTTTTGCAGCCTGTAGCCCAGGATACAACAAGAAGTCATGGGCCATTACAGTGAGCACACCCTTTCCATTGTCAGAGGCCCTCCATGATGGGGTGAAAATGCGACTTCGTGACCGTTCGCCTTGGAGAGTTGGAGTTTATCTGGATTGGTCTGCAGGCACTCTGTCCTTCTATGACATCACAAATGAAAAGGCTGAACTTCTTCACACATTTTATGCCAAGTTCACAGCACCACTTCATTTGGTCTTCAGCATGTCTGCTGGGATACGCCTGCTGCCATCAAACCCTGGCCCAGTCTGCTGTCATGATCACGACCCCTGGGACATGTTCAGAGGTGTTAAAGATTGCAAGGGCTGCAATGGCTCAAAGGCAGGCTAAACTGTCACCATGAAGGAAGGAAACAGAGATCCTCTTCTTTGACTGAGATCCGTACTGTTTTTGATGGGTCATTGTGAGACTGTATTGGGCCTTGGAGGTTGTTGTTTGATTTGAGTGTGTTGTCTTACTCCAGGAGCCAGATGCTTGGAGAAGTTACTGTTTGTGGAGACAGTTGTGGTGGAGATAAGACCCTGCAAAAGACATGACTGCACCAGAATTGCCTTTTTATTTCTTTTTAATCTATTTTTTTATCATTATTATTTTATTTATTTATTTTTTTTTCAATTTTATCATCTTTCAGTTTGATGTCACTGTTGTGAATCCCCCCAGCAACCAATGATGGCCACTTGTTTGTTAAAATATAAAAAACACTGCTTCATTATTTGTTTATTGCCATGTTCCACAAAAGCTGTTCAAGTAGCATAACGAGACACTGACATCTAAAAGTGAAAATGTGTCTCAGCATTAGCCATAATGTCAGTTTAACAAATTATTAATAAATACTAATAAATAAATAATAATAAAATGGTATCTGAGCCACTGTCTCATACCACAGACATGCCTGCCTCCTCCTCAAAGGCTAGATGGACTCAAGATACACTATATGTCCAAAAGTATATAGACACCACTTCTTGTGAATTAATACAGTTACTTTAAACACCCATTGCGAAGTATAGGTGTTCAGTTGCACACACAGCTTGTATAATCTACCTAAAAAGCATTGCTAATAGAACAGGGTGTTCTGGAGGCTAAAGTCAACATGCCCATCAGCTAGAGAGGCGTTGGGCTGTGGAGCAGTGGAACGGCATTGTCTGGAGTAATGGATCACCATCCAGTACCTTTTGGATGAGTTGGATTGGAGTTTGTGATGCAGAAGTAATCATCCAACATCATTACCTTACCTCACTAATGCTCTTGTGGCGGAATGCAATAACATTCTCACAGCAATGTTCCAACGTCTAGTGTAAAGCCTTCACAGAGGAGTAGAGGCAAACTCCCTTTCAATACCCTTGATTTCAGAAATGTTGGATGAGGTGTCTATAAGCTTTTGGACAAACAGTATAAGTTCATCTCCAAAATCTGCAAGTCCGTTAAAGCAACTTTGTAAATGCATTACAAGAAATTAGATGATATAAAGCAAACTAACTGGAAAGTCAGCAAGACTGTGACTCCAACAACCCCCTGCATCTCACAGCAAAGTAGAACTACTGAAGGAAAAAGATCCTCCATCAAGACTAAAGATTCTGAATTATATAAAGACAGTTTACTGTGACCACTGTGAATCCTGTGTCTGACTAAAACTTGGATATTACAGCAGAACTGGACAGGCCAAGTTTGAGTGGTTTGAACAGAGCAAGCTAGAGTTTACGGGGACAGTTAAAGAGCTAAATAAAGAAAACTCACCATTAAATTATCCGTACTATCCATAGCTTGTATTTTTGCACCGGTGGGAACTTAGTGTTCAATATGAAGCCTTATGAATTTCTCAGTATTTTCCCTGCTCTTAACCAAATGACAAGCAATGTTAAAGGTTACTATATATTATGACTGCCCTGTCTTTCACCGCTCCACTGTCAGTTGTGTGGTTCAGCTTCGACTATTACCCTGCTAAGCATTGCACAGTTTTGCCATGCATTTCAGTACTGGTTTCAACAAGCCTTCGTCCACTTGGCCTCATCATTTCCCCTTCAGGTGCCTTCAAGATCTCACGAGCCACGTTTACATGCAGCCTGATAATCCGTTAATAATCTGACTAATAGCTCAATCGGAATAGTCTAATCCGATTGAGGCCATTCGGAATACAATTTCTATCCGATTGAACGAGGTGGGTAATCCTGTAAATAATCCGTTAAATAGAAGAATAATAGCCATGTAAACGCCTGTATCGGATTACATTTCCAATCGGAACGTGTAAATACGTTCTGCGCATGTGCGTCGCCTCATATGAAAAGCACAGAACTCATAAACCGGCTCTGGCAAAAGTGGACCTCACGTGATGTTCGCTGTCATGGTAACGTTTACTCTAAGGGGTACTCCACGCATGCGCGTCATTTTGGATCGGATTACTTGTAGTGAGCATATAAACGAATATTTTCATCAGATTGTTGAATAGAGTGTTCATGTAAACACCTCAGTCTTAATCTGTAATCGGAATGTATTCATTCGGATTGGCAAGACCCCAGAGGGGTGAGAGTTCAAGTGAAAGTAATGGCAGACAGAGCACGTAATTGTATGCGGATAATGAAATGCATTCTGTTTACACTTGTGTTAAATGTGGCCAGGATCCATCTCTGACCACCTCCGAATGTGGGTTAAGTGAATTGTAATCCGATCACAATATGTGTCCTGGGGCTGTATATAGAGTGTTTTGCCTTATTTATACACAACCACTAACATTACTGTTATACCATTAAAAATACTTTGCACGACTCCTCACTCTACACTCGCCTCCTGTTTTACATCTCTGTGGATTAGGGTGTCTGCTAAAACTGTTTAGTACTCACTCAGTCTCCGTGCTCTGAAAACCTGAATGTTATTAAAAGAAGCTACTGATGCTGCTACTTCAGCTCTGGTTAGGCGGGAGAGAGAACGTGGTATCTATAGATGAAAAACTGGAGTGGCCATCTTAGTTATCTAACATTAGGTAAATGAGCAGTAAACTGTGAGGACTGGCTGCAGTACAACCCATTCTACTGCCAGTGTTTGTCTATGGAGATAGCATGGCTATGTGCCTGATTTTAGATGTGCTGTTAGCAATGGCTGTGGCTGAAATACACTATATTGCCAAAAGTATTCGCTCGTCTGCCCTCACACGCATATGAACTTGAGTGACATCCCATTCTTAATCCATAGGGTTTAATATGATGTCGGCCCACGCTTTGCAGCTACAACAGCTTCCACTCTTCTGGGAAGGCTTTCCACAAGGTTTAGGAGTGCATTTATGGGAATTTTTGACCATTCTTCCAGAAGCGCATTTGTGAGGTCAGACACTGATGTTGGACGAGAAGGCCTGGCTCGCAGTCTCTGCTCTAATTCATCCCAAAGATGTCCTATCAAATCGAGGTCAGGACTCTGTGCAAGCCAGTCAAGTTCTTCCACACCAAACTCGCTCATCCATGTCTTTATGGACCTTGCTTTGTGCACTGGTGCGCAGTCATGTTGGAACAGAAAGGGGCCGTCCCCAAACTGTTCCCACAAAGTTGGGAGCATGAAATTGTCCAAAATCTCTTGGTCTGCTGAAGCATTAAGAGTTCCTTTCACTGGAACTAAGGGGCCAAACCCAACTCCTGAAAAACAACCCCACACCATAATCCCCCCTCCATCAGATTGCCAGATGGAGAAGTGTGATTCATCACTCCAGAGAACACGTCTCCACTGCTCTAGAGTCCAGTGGCGGCGCTTTACACCACTGCATTCGACACTTTGCATTGCGCTTGGTGATGTAAGGCTTGAATGCAGCTGCTCGGCCATAGAAACCCATTACATGAAGCTCTCTACGCTGTTCTTGAGCTAATCTGAAAGCCACATGACGTTTGGAGGTCTGTAGCGATTGACTCTGCAGAAAGTTGGCGACCTCTGCGCACTATGCGCCTCAGCATCCGCTGACCCCGCTGTCATTTTACATGGTCTACCACTTCATGGCTAAGTTGCTGTCATTCCCAATCGCTTCCACTTTGTTATAATACCACAGACAGTTGACTGTGGAATATTTAGTAGCGAGGAAATTTCACGACTGGACTTGTTGCACAGGTGGCATCCTATCACGGTACCATGTTGGAATTCACTGAGCTCCTGAGAGCGACCCATTCTTTCACAAATGTTTGTAGAAGCAGTCTGCATGGGTAGGTGCTTGGTTTTATACACCTGTGGCCATGGAAGTGATTGGAACACCTGAATTCAATGATTTGGATGGGTGAGTCAATACTTTTGGCAATATAGTGTACCTGAACTCAGTAGTTAGGAGGGGAGTCCACATACTTTTGGTCAGCCTACTTTGTTGTCATGTTACCTTTATGTTGTAGAGGATAAAGAGTGCAGCTCTGCTGTGAAATACAGCATGACTGTTCTGCAAGCTTGCATTACACATCAACGTTTAGGCATTTAATTGTGGCCTGCAAAAGCATGATTTGAGAAAGTGGGGGGGTATTTGTATCAGTGGTTGCCACATAGGAGCTATTGCTCGTTGCAAGACTCGTCAGAATTGGGAAATGAAGTGTTGTGCTATAATAATCAGATCATTGTTAGAGGGACAAACTTTAGGTTCTGTGTGCCTTAAAAATGTTCTCTTGTCAAAGTACTCTTATTGGAGTAGCATGGTATGCTTTCCCAGGCAGGGATTAGAACCATGGTCTGCTTCATTGGAGGGCAGCAGTGTTACGCGCTAAGCTACACCAACCTATAAAAAGATGAAATAAATGAAAAAACAGACTCAGTCATTAAAATGTATTCTTGAATTAATCTCTTGAATGACTTGTTTACACAAATTGCAGTGTGTACGTGTACAATACACACTTAACAAAAAACAAGCAAGAAAAATCCCTTATGGAAAAGCTTGCAATCATTCGTTGTGCCAGGAATTTTAAAGAGACGATTTTAAAAAAGGAATATTTATCATTAAAATGATTGTCGTATTGAAGTTTGCTTTTTTTGAAGCACATACCATAAAATAAAAGAAAAAAAAAACAATTAGATTATCGAGAATCAGCATAGAAAACAGTGCAGTACATATCCATGTCTCTTTAGAATTGCTTCTCAGTTAATCTAAGCAAATGTCCAGGCCGGCTTGGTTGATGCTGAAGTCAGCAAAACGTTGGTGAGGCATCTACGGCTTTAAAAGTTCATCTCAACGTGCAGCACGACTCAGCACTCCTCTTTCACGTATATCTGTTCGTCTGTGTCCGACTCAAGATGTTCCAGACGGTCTGTCTGTCCACTCATGATCTCATCTGGGGTTTTCATGAACCTGTGGTGAATATACACACAAGAGCACATGAGAAATACATGTATTTTTATCATGGCCACAGTATACTATATGCACCAACAAACAATCCAGTTAAAGTTAAAACTAGATATGCATTTTGAATTAAGTACAGAGCTTGAAAGGCAAGTATTCTTAAAAGCTTACGCAAAATGATTGAGTGTGAAAATGACTATAGTCTTTAAATGTTAATAGTTTCAAATCTCCAAGTTTAAAATGTTTCAAATACATTGCATACACTACATGGCCAAAGGTATGTAGACCCTCCTTATAATTAGTGGATTTGGCTATTTCAGCCACACCATTGCTAATATGTATATAAATTCAAGCCTACAGCCATGCAGTCTACATCGACAAACACTGACAATAGAACAGGTCATACTAAAGAGCTCAGTAACTTTCAGT